ATTTCCAATTCCTAATCCCCTGCTTTTAGGGTCCCTCCTGCCCATTCAATTCCTCGTTTTCTTTCCTCGCCCATTCCCTCATTCTTTCATTTCCTCCTCCTTCCCACTCCCCCATTCTCTCATCCTTTCAGTCCCTCCTACCCATTCCCATTCCCTCGTTTTCTTTCCTCACCCATTCCCTCATTCTTTCATTCCCTCCCTCGTCCCATTCCCTCATTCCCATATTCTTCCATTTCCTCCTCCTTCCCACTCGCACCCCCATTCTCTCAATCCCTTTCCAGTTCTCCCCTTCCCGCTCCCTCCAATCCCACATTCCTCATTCCTTCATTCCCCCCTCTTCCATTCCCACCATTCGCTCATTCTCTCACGCCCCTCGCTCCTCCCGCACCGGACAGACGTACATCGGGGGCAGGTTGTTGGTGTCGGTCAACCCGTACAAGGACCTGGCTCTCTACACGGACGCCCTGCTGGAGAAGTACAGGAACGTCAATTTCTACGAAGTGCCCCCTCATGTGTGAGTATTTGCTGGCGTTTGTCTGTTTGTTGGGGTCTATATCTTGTTTTTTCCATTTTCTCCTATTTTTCTGGTTCATGGAACTGTTGTCTTGTTTCTTTCTTTTTTACATTTTTCACTTTTTTTTCTTTTTTGTGTATTTGCTTTTTCTTCGTATTATGCTTCGTTTTGATGTTCGTTCTAGATTCTTTTCTCGTGTGTTTTTTTTCTGTATTACTCTCTGTTCAATTGGCTATCTGTTTATCTATTCATCTATGCATTTTTTAATCTCTCCGTGTATATATCAGTCATGCATCCATCCTCCTATCTAACTGTCTATCAGTCAATCTATCTATCTATTTATCGAAGACAGTGGTCCGCTAAGTCTTCTCAGAGACCGCACTCTACAGTGGCCACAAGTCCTTCCCTGTGGCACCCGTTCCTTTGACCTCAGAGAGCCGCCGATCAAATACCTTCCTTCTTTCCTCTCCTTTTAACGTTTCTCTTCCCAAGGCTTCGCACTCGTTTCTAAATGGGATTGAAGAAGTTTCCACACTTAGAGACTAAACTCGCTATCCTTGTGTTATTTTTTTATTTGTTTTATTGTCTGAATAAGATTAAGACGACAATTTTTTTGTACGATAGTTGGTCGTTTTTTATCGATATTATTTTAGTTTTCGCCGGCGAAAATTCACTTTTTTTCATGGTGTTATTCATGTGCCTTAGCATTTTTTTTATTATATATAAAAGCGTAAATAGATAGAAAGGCAGGTATGTAGGTATGCAGACATAACCAGAAATACAGACATGTGTTCGAACGTATATACATACATACATGCTTACATATACGTATTCGTACATATATATTATATATATATATATGATATATATAATATATATATATAATATAATATATAATATATACATATATATATATTTATTTATTTGCAACAGACAGACACATAGATAAGGGGAACGAGGGAAGGGTCGCGAAAGCAATCATTTGGCGCAGCCTTAGGTCACAGCGCACATCAGCAGTTAATCAAGCATCATAACTTTAGTAACAGAGTTGGTTTTGAAGGTGCCATTGACGCTCTTGTCATGACTCAGGTATCATGGGTCAAGCGGGGCCAGGTGAATTTCCCTGATTTGTTCATTCATTTATAGGTTCCTGCCCCTCTGAATATGGGTCTCTCTCTCTCTTCTCTCTCTCTCTGCTCTCTCTCTCTCTATTCTCTCTCTCTCATCTCAGGGTTCTCACCTCTCTTCTCTTCCTTCATCGTCTCTCTCGGCTCTGCTCTCCTCTCATCGTGCTCTCTCTCTCCCTCTCTCCTCTCCCTCTCCTCTCCCACTCTCTCTCTCTCTCTCTCTTCTTTCATCTCTCTCTCTCTCCTCTCTCTCTCTCTCTCCGTCTCTCTCTCTCTCTCCCTCTATCCTCTCTCGATTACTCCTCTCTCCATCCCTCTCTCTCTCCTCCCCCTCATCTTTCCCTCCTCCCCTCTCGCCCTCTCTCTCCTCTCCCTCCTCCCTCCTCTCTTCGTCTCTCTCTCTCTCTGCTCCTCAGGTCATCTCTCTCTCTCTCCTCTCTCTCTCTCTTCTCTCTGCATCATCTCGTCTCCCATCATTCTCATCTCTCTCTCTCTCTCTCCGGGCTCCTCTCTCTCCTCCTGATGTTCCCTCTCCTCTCTCCTTCGTCTCCCTCCCTCTACCTCCCCTCCAGCCTCCCTCCTTCCTCACTCAGCACCCTCCTTCTCTCAACCTCTCCCATCTCGTCTCTCTCATCTGCCTCCTCATCTTCTCTCCTCTACTCAATCTCTCTCTCCTCTCTCTCTCTCTCTCATCTCTTCTCTCTCTCTCCTCGTCTCTCTCTCTCTCTCATCTCTCATCTCTCTCTCCTCTCTCCCTCTCGGATCTGCTGCTTCCCGCTCTCTCTCTTTTGTCTCTCTCCCCTTCCCTGTTTTCCTTTCTCTCGCGCTTTCCCCCCTTTTTATCATCTTATCTTCCCTG